TCAAAAAAATGAGAAAATACAACGTATTTTATTCCCATTTTTAATTTTGAAATTACATAAAATACAATTAAATTAAGCATTTAACTAAAAAATTTAATGAAAATTAAGCTTTTTTTCGCCGACTTTGTTTTACTAAATTTATCAAGAAAATGAACATATCTTGCTCCCATATTTATCGACGCACCTCTTTTGCCAACAGTCAATAAAATGTGTCACTGATTAGATGTAGACATGTCTCAAAGTCCATAAAGGAAGGAAACAATAGTCGTAGAGATAAAGTGCATTAAATTAAATTGGGCAATAAATAAGGTGGACTTAATTCACACGCATGATTACAGATTGAGTAATAATCTGCACTTTATGGCTTCCACCCATCCACCCAAACCCAAAAAATGTTTCTGCTGCACGTACTTAAGTATGAAAACATGTCTTAAAATCGAGCATAGCATGATAGCAGTGTTTCGTGTGTAAAAAAAAACAGTTGCAAGAAATAAGGAGGAGAAAGTGGTTTCTTGCAGGGGAATATTTTGACCTGGGAGAAATGCACGGCGCAAGAAATTACACCCTGCCACTATAAATAGTTTGTACAGCACGTGGATAGATGACGCACATTTCTTGCAATTTCTCTCAATTTCTTGCACCTCGTATTTCTTGCGTGACTTATTTTTCCCTGCAAGAAATTCCACAGGCAGGAAATAAGGGGGAGAAAGTGTTTTTTTGCAGGTAAATATTTGCACCTGCAAGAAATGCACGGCGCAAGAAATCACGCTCCGGCGCTGTATTTCATACAGCGCGTCGGTAGATTGCAATTTCAATTTCTCTCAGTTTCTTGCACCTCACTCACATTTCTTGCGTAACTTGCGTTTCTTCCTTTGCAAGGACGAAATACTGAAAATCTGGGATTTAAAAAAACCATCCGTTTTTTAATGTTTGAAAATGAAAGATTTTACCTAATCTATTCAGTAAATTAGGCTCAATAAGATCATTTAATTTGAGCATTGCTTTGCTTCATTAAACAATTGATACTTCAGGTGGGCTGGCATTTGGCAATACATCTATTTCTTAAAAAAAAACTTAAAATAGTAATCCAAAAATTTCCAAATCGACGCTAAAATCTTCGATTTTTTCTAAAATCAGTTTCTTGCACTGTGTAGTTTCTTATATCCTGCAGTATCCTGAACCTTGCAATTTCTTGCACCTTGAATTTTTTTTCATTTCTTGCTTTGTAGTGCAAGAAATGCCACCTGCAAGAAATAACTGGAAAAAAGTGGTTTCTTGCAGGTAAATATTTTAACCTGCAAGAAATGCAAGGCGCAAGAAATGACGCCTCGCCGCCATAAATATTTGATAAGAAGCGTGGCTGGATGGCGCACACTTCTTGCACTTTCTTACACCTCGAGTTTTATTTGCAGTGCAAAAAATTTGCAAACCCGCAAAAAAACGAAACCCTGCATTTAGTCCTCATTTTTGATGGGGAACAATCAACACAAATAATTACGCGATTCTGATGATGGATGGATGGATGGACGGACGATGACCAACCAAATACATAATTATTATATGCAACTCGACTGCATTTTGTGGGAGGGGATCAATAAAGGAAGACAAATTGACCTAGTTTTTTTACTCTATGGCGAGATGCAATTTGTGCAGTTTTCTCCAGTTTTGCATAATTTATGACATGCGAGGTAATAATAAGGTAATACTTTTTTGCAGACTACATAACTTATAACAAAATTTGTTACTTGTTTAATTTTTGCAAACTAGCATAATTTTATAATAATTTTGCAAGATTAATTCAGCAGTTTAATAATTTAATAAGTTTGCTACTTATGTTTGTCGAATACAATAATTTAAAGTTTTTAACCCAGTTTATAATTAATTTTAGATGTCCATTTTAGAAATACATACGTAGTTTACGTTTGTTTATAAAAAAAATTATAAGTAACAAATTTTGCTATGCAATTAGTCCCCAAAATGTATCTAAAATTAAGTAAAAACCGGACAAAACTTCGGAAATTATTGTTTTGGCCAAAATAAGTAGCACTATTTGAATCAAATAAATTCTTCAAAATTGTTATCTCGTGTGAAATCTTTAGTATATAAATTAAATTAGGTAAAACTGGAGAAAACTGCGCAAATTATTTTATTCTGGAAAAATTAGTCACAAAATTCGTACTAAACATATTTTTCAAAATTTTTTGCTTAATTTTTACAAACTAGCTTAGCACATAATTTGTGTCACAAATTTTGCAAAATTAATTTAATACGAATTTTGCGACTTATTTCTCCAGAATAAAATTAATTGTGCAGTTCTATTTTGTCCAGGTTTTAATGAATCTCACATTTCATTCGAAACAATTTTTGCAAACTAAGTAATTCACTGGCAAAATGTATTACTTATTTTTTGCAAATTAACTTAGTTTATGTGTCACAAATTTAGCGCGACATTTTGATTCATATCTGTATCATTATAATCATCTCGACTAATAAATAAATACGCACGTGTAATTACTACAGATATCTGCCTTCCTTACATAATACTTAAGCTGCCTGTTTTTCAATTCGCTCACAAATTCGCTTAGTTATTTACCAAATAAGAAGAACACATCTCTTCCGGCAATAAAAGAAAATATCACTCTTCTCATCTCGTCCACCAGCATCTGCATCGTCGTCGTTTTGGCAGAGAACAAATCGCTGCAAGAAATTAAGTAGCAAAGTTATTTAATATGAGCAGAAGGCGGCTATGTATTTACGAAAAATCGCTAAAACTTGTATTAATATTTAATGTTTATGCCAAAATAATAATTACGAAATATGTATCAAAATAACCATAAAAATAAGAATTTGCACAAAAATTGGGTAAATTCTCTGGAATTTTTGTGGTCGAATGGTTGAGCACAAAAATTCGTTAATAACCATAAAATTAAGAATTTTCACAAAATTTGTATAAATTCTCTGGGATTTTTGCGACTTGAAAAAAAAATTGTTCCACATCATTGAAAAATATACAACTTATATATGAATTTCTGAAAATATATCCAAAGTATTTACGTATTTTTCAAATAATGGTGGAAATTTTTGTAAATTTTTGAAAACGTAAAAATATGTGACATGACAATACGTAAAAAAATTATTTTGAAATTTGAGTGCTCTATGCGACTTAGGGAACACACCGACAAAGTTTGAGTGTCGGTCGTCATCAAATGAAAAACTTGAAAATGAATACATATCCGCCCTCTGAACATGAGGCGAACTAGATTCCGTAATAATTTCGAATTCTACACGAGTTCAGTCAGTCAGTACAATGAACGATGAAGAATTTTTCTGTGTGTGCATGTTCTTCAAGTCAAAATCAAGTACCCCGTGTGCATTGAAATTAAGTGAGAATTTGCAATCGAATCGACTTGTTTTCTTCTTGTTTCATGAACTATTTTGTTGAAATGTTTTGCAATGAAATGGAAAAAATATGTGCATCTAATCTAACCCTCAGAAAAACTGGTGTATGCATGCATGTAGAAAAATTAGTATGGATGAAATGAAGAGCTGCTGGTCGACATGCACTTTAGAAGCATGGTCTTGTCACGATTTTGAAAAAAAAATCGCTTAATTAAAAGTTATTGAGTTTTGTCAAAATCAAATCAATTTTGGAAAAAAATTATATACCAATAAAGAGTTAGGTGAAAAAATCAATAAATTGTCATAAATTTGCAAAATCCAATAAATAAAATTGTACATGTTAACATTAAAAATCAATAAATTGGGAAAAATAAATTTATTTTCCAAACCTAAATCAATTTAAACAAAATTACATATAAAATTACGTGAAAGAGATAAAGATTGCCAAAAAAATATAGAATTTTCAAAATTGATTCAATTTTTTGAAAAAGAAATTATAAAAATTTGGACAAAATATAAACAAAATTGGACCAGTTTAACGCCAATTTTAACTTTATTTTATAATTAAGTTCCTATTTGTGCTAGAAAGATTGCAACTTTTTACCACTACAGTAGTGGCACTACTAAATAAAATAAAAAAACTGAAACAGAAAATTTGTACACAGAATTTTAAGACTGAAGGTTAACAAATTTCTTAACTTAAATACATTTTCTTACAAAAATGGATCAATTTTCCATTATTTTATTATTTTATTTTATATAATTAATGGATCAACGCCATAATTTTTAACAAATTACATGTAAAATACACACAGTATTTGTTGATTAATTAATATGATGTCTGCTGCCTTGTGGCACACGAATTTTTCTCCAGCATCGAAAAATCAAAACTGAACCAGAATTTTGCCCAATTTTTAACTTTTATTACTTAATTTTCAGCCTGAAGGTTAATTTCATGAGTTACATACATACATTTTCCTACATACTAAAAAGGGATCAATTTTACGCCTTAATTTTTAATAAATTACGAGTAAACTACATACAAATAAGCATTTCACACACATTATTTACTTGTTGATTAATTGTCTGCCTCGTGGTGCAGAGCACATTGTGTACAAAATTGTGTAAGAAATGCTCTCTTTCTTTATGACATGACCAATATCTTGACATTAAATCTCATTAATTTTCTTACCATCATCACTCGCATACTTATCATCGTTCACCTGAAAAATGCATATAAAATGGAATTATGTGAACCTTCATCTCCTCGTAAGTAAAGTAACTCACGCGCACATTTCTTTAGTTTTGTGTGGACGTGTGTGCACTAATTGTCAATTTCAGCACACAACAACAACGTCAAGCAGAAATTCGCGTGGTTTGGTCTTGTTATGTCATCTATTTGCATATTATCGTATCCTCAATATGGGGCATCCCATCAAACATCAGGTAGTGCACTTCCTCTTACGTTATTACGTGGTCCCTTAAGAGCTTGATAACTACCACCACCAAACCAAGCCACACACCAATCTCGCCTTTGTTTTTGCCCAATCAGAACGTGAACGTGGGGCCGCAGTATAAATTGGCGTGAGGACCTCGGGACACAGGATCAGTGAGTGAGTGAAGTGCATTCAGCAAGGACGCGCACAGGAGAAAAATTTGTGACAGAAGTGAAGTTATTTAAAATTGTGAATCGTTCATTTTTACGAGAGAAAAAATGAAAGTTTCTGCTTCCGTGGCCGTCCTGATTTTAGGACTTGGATGGCAAGCTGCTGTGAGTGATATATTTAGTGTTTTTTTTTTACCAAAATCATAACATTTTGGAAATTTTTGTATCTCCAAAATGATTAAAATTACCAAAATCTGATAGAGTTACATACAAACTCGATATTCTGTATTGATTTCGTAATAAGTAGGGATTTTGGTAGTACTTTGCATCTGAGTGGTAATTTTTTCATTTCTACGATATTACTAAATGGTAATGCCCGTTATTACCAGAGTTATGTATGTACTCCGGTCAGTAGCAATTTAACACCACACTGTTAAAAATCTGGCAGAGTCATATATACAGTCCGTACTGGTAATGATTTGGTAATAACTTTGTACCGGATTGGTAGTTGTTTGTTTCCGAGTGGTAAATTTTTTTCATTACCACAACTGTAATGCCTGTTATTACCAGTGTTAATAGAGTTATATATGTATGTATGTACTCCGATCAGTAATGATTTAATACCAGTTTTCTGAAGAAGTGCAAGATTTTGATATCGTGTCGTGTCGTGTTTTTAGGAGGCCGTATTTTTCTCTTTTGGAGGATGGGGTGGGGGTCAGAGCTATGGTCATGGTGGGGGCGATGGGGGGTGGGGCTGGGAGGCACCCGCTGTAGTGTCGCATGGCGGTGGATGGGGTGGTGATGATGGCGGGTGGGGCTGGGCACCACCCAAAGTGACAGAGACGCATAAACACATCTACAAAGTACGTGCTTTTACGATAAGTTTGATAGTTAATTCGTTAGCTAATTGTAATTTACGTCGTATTTATATCCATGTTTTTTTACTTGGCTGCAGGTCCACAATTACGATCATCATGAAAAGAAGGTAAATTTTCTGAAAATACGTAATGCTGGACAAAATATATTTATTTTATTACGTAAATTTTGACAGATTCACAATCATGATCACCACGAACACAAAGTGATTGAGCACAACAAGCACAAAAAGGTGAGGATGGGATAAGACAAGAATTACGAGTTTGTTAAGGATTTGATGTATTGTTATGAATTTTTGAGAATTTTCGAGAATTGTATGAATAAATTTGCTTATTTTTTTTATTCGTAGCTCATCTTCAGGGATCATCTTCACAAGGTAAGTAAAAATATGAGTCCTTTCTTAATTAAGTTATTATATAGGCGTCTCAAATCGCCTCATTTTTACGGCACGTTTACTTTTTGCGTACCTTTATGTCTCAATTTGCCTAATTTTTACGCTGCGTTTCCTTTTTGTGGATCAATTTGCCTCATTTTTAAGCTCAACTTACTTTTTGCATATATCTTTTTGGTCTCAATTTGTCTCATTTTTTTCCCTTCGCTTACTTTTTGTATGCACAATTTTTGTCTCAATTTGCCTCCTTATTTATACTTCGTATTTCATTCCAGCACAACGTTCACGTCCACACGGTTCACCAGGTAAATAAATTACTCATTATTTTTCTTTATATTGATTATTCATGGCTAAAATTTCGTAAATTTTTATTATTTTAGCACAACATCCACAAGCATAAAATCCATCAACACAACTTGCACAAGGTACGTAATAAGCTGTCAAAAACCTATCTGTTACAATTTCCCAGTCTCAATTTGCCTCATTTTTCTCTTGCATTTGTCCCTGTCTCAATTTGCCTCACTTGTCTCTTGAATTTTTCCCAGTCTCAAGTTGCCTCATGTTCCTCTTGAATTTGTCCCTGTCTCAATTTGCCTCATTTTCTATCTCATCCTTGCAGCACAACCTTCACGTTGTCAAAGTCCACGAGCCCATCATTCACAAATACCACCAAACCCAACACAAAGTGATCCCATCGGTGCAAGAGGTCCACAAAGTCATCCCCATCCACGAGAGCGTCCACCAAGTTCACGAGCACCACGAGAAGGTTCGTTATCTTATCACGTTATCATTTAGAGTGTATGTAGTATCGAAATTTCGAATTTTCAATACTATAATATTGAAATTTCGATATTCCAATATCGAATTTTGATTTGTCTACACCAAAATTGAATTTTGAATTTGGCTACAGCCCAAAGTTTCCAAAATTGAATCACTTCCAACATTATCAAAGCTGAATTTTAACTTTGTTACACCCCCAAAGTTTCAAAAATTGGATTTTGACTTGGTTACACACCTCAAACTTTGAATGGTACCCGAAGTAGCTAAGTTAATTAAGTAAATTCATAAATTGCAAAAGTGAAATTAAGATATCTCGATTTTTGAATATTGAATATCCAAAACGAAATCGAGCCTACATGTCTTAACAGGAAGCTACATATGCAAAAAATTTGCAAAAAGCTACATGTGCAAAAAACCTCGTAATAATTAATTCCATCCCACTTTTTACCAGGTTGCCCCCGTCATTTTGGAACACAAAGGATGGGGCGCACCTTCCGGCGGCTGGGGAGGCGAAGAATCCTCCGGAGGATACGCCGGCGGTCATGGCGGTTGGGAAAGCGCCCCCGTCGCCGTGGTCGTCAAACCGGATGCCAAAGCTTAAACAAAAAATCTACACCATGACATGACGTAACAGCTCAATTGAGGCGAGTAGAAGATGATGAAAACGATGCCAAATATTTTTGCACTCTCATTTTTTTAATAGCTACTTTTTTATACTCACTTTTTTCTATACTGTGCGAATTTTTAAAAATTGATCACGTTCTGCTAGTCAATCCAGGAAAATATTTTGTCCTTGTGTTTCTCTGTCTGTCTGAATGTCTGTGTGTGATGATTTGTGTTAACAGAAATGTGTGTTATTTTTGTACTTATCTGTGTCTGTAAAACCTTTAAAGAAGAAAAAAATATATACGTTGCCGGCACTATTTTACAAGAAAAATTGAATGTTTACTTAATTGCTGAGAATGAGTACGAATTTATTTATTTTTGCAAATTAGCACGTTACCACCAGCATAAAAATATACAAAATTGCGAATAATTCCCATCATTTACGACATGATTAAATGCACAATTACATAAATATTTACGTAATCCCGTAATGCTCACACTTTTTGAAATACTACTTAATTGGTGCCAGAGAAATAGGAAACAATTAAAAATTAGGTGAGTAGGAGGCAGAGGGTTGGAATTAAATGGGAATTATTTTCTTACACACAGTGGCCGCGGAAGCGGAGGGACAATGTCCCCACGGTTATTCGATGTCCGTATCATCTGCCCATGTTATATAAACCTCTCCCTCCCCCCATCCTACAATGTTAATGTCCCCACGTGTCCCCATGGCTTCCGCGGCCACTGTCATCTTGCGTAAACCTGCCGTAAAAAAAATACTACATAAACCTGCCCTGTCACGAGTGACGAGCAGAAGTTGACAAGTTGACAAGAATCATGCAATCGTGCAATTAGTGCGGTTAATTGTTTTTGTGCAGTGGTCATAACTAGATATTTATTTAGATGGTGGAGCGATGCACGTTTTTGTTCATGTCAAATCAAAAAAACATGCCCGAACAAGTGACGAGAAGGGTAAGAGCATTTAGTTAATTGCCCATTTATTATGCACTTCCGGGTTTAATTGGTACAATTTTTAGGAAAATTAGGTCGTCTGGATTGCATTTGTAAAATAAATCAAGATATAATTTTCTGCCAAATTGCATTTTTTTTAATGAAGTTAAGCCTGGATTAGATTTTTTGCGATGATATAAATTCTTGCGAAATTTTGTAAAATAAATTAAGATACGAATTTCTGCGAAATTTCTGAGCAATTTAAAATGAAATGAGGTAAGTCGGCTGCATTATTTTTTTTGCAATAATGTAAGTTCCTGCGACATTTTTTAAAATATCGAAATACAAATTTCCGCAAAATTTCTGTGAAATTTCTTCTCGATTTCAAATCAAAATAACATAGTATCCTGGACTGTTTTTTTGGAATCATGTACACAAATTCCTGATAAAATTTCTAAAATAAATGAACATGTTTCAAGTTTCTGCGAAATTGCAATTTCTTAAATAAAAATAGGTACATCGCCTGGATTGCACTTCTTTTTTTGCAATGATGCACATAAAAATTCCTGCAAAATTATGACTCCATATCACGCGATGAGAAGCATGTGACCTTAATCGATCGCGAAGACGGAAAGTGTTGCACTTTTACGAAATTCTCACCCGATTAAGATGATGTCATCAATTAAGCTCGCTTTGTTAATGGCAACAATTTTATAGGTGAATTATGTACACACAAACTTGTGCATGCAGGAATTTCAAATGGTAAAACGCAGCAGGTAAAGGGAAGCTAGGGGGCATTTCCTCATGTAAAAATGTGTGTTAAGCTGTAAACCACATGCACACCGAGATAAAAACATAGGAAAAACGCCTCCATTAACGAGAGTAAGTTATTTATTAGTGCTTTATTTACATAAGTAGGTGGTTAAATACCTTACAAAAGATTTACAAAGTCATATCTTATCATATGTAAAGTGGTTACGTATTTTTAAATATTTATGAAAAGAGTGCAAATTTATATTTACGAAAATAAAGTAGTATTAATTTGTGTGCGCTTTTTGATATTTAAAAAATAATAATACTCCAAATTTTATTGTAGTATAATGAGCAATTTTTTTTAATGTAATAAAATTCATAGAAATTATTACGTACCATACAGTGGTTACATGCGTATATTTTTAGATTATATGAAAATAGTGCAAATTTCATGCAAAAGGAACAAAAATATTAATTTTTCGCATTTTTGTTTTGCTATAAACCACATGCACACCGTGATAAAAACATGAAAAACGCCTCCTTTAACAAGACTGCAAACTATTAGTGTGTTATTTATGTAGGTGGTTAAATACTTACAATATCAACAAAGTCATATCTCCTCATAAAGTGGTTACGTATTTTTGTATAATGTGCATGCAAATAAGTAGTTGAAATTTGTATTTATATTTATGAAAAAATACTAATTTTTGGGTATTTTTTTGTAAATCTTTTAAAAATTTAATACTTTCAGTGTTTTGCTGTGTATAATATGCATGAAAATAGTTGAAATTTGCATTTATATTTATAAAATAAAAATAAAAAGTCGTCTTAGTTGACATCTTGCACCTTTAAAAATTTAAAAGTTTTTTGTAGTACAATAAGCAATTAAAATTAAACGTATCAAAATTTGTTATGCAATTAAATAATTTGAAATGATTACAAAAACATTTTGACCTTGGATAAGTTAATCGTCATTTCGCATTTTATTTACAATCTTGCATCTTGATTAACGTAAAACAGGTCCGAAGCTGCTCACTTAACTGGGTTTTTGAATAAAATAAAGTGACGGATTTTATCAAACTTGTTCAAGAATTCGCAAATCTGGATGTACAAATCTTTTGTGAAATTTTAATCAATATAAAAATTGTGATGTAATCGTCGTGTCTTGGTTTATTGAAAATGTAACATTTTTATTATAAAATAAAAACAGACGTCTGCTGAATTTTTTGATAAAATAGAATCCCGTATTTTATCAAATTTTGTCCTTGTTTAACAATTCACAAGTTTGGATTTACTAAATTTGTGTGAAATTTTAATCAATAAGATTTTATCTGATTACAAAAATTTTAAACTTTGCTTAATTTAATCGACATTTCACATTTTATTTAAAATCTAGCCTCGTTACAAAATAAAATAGGTACACATTACTCGGCGTCTGCTTGGTTTTTGGATAAAATGAAGTGGTCAAAATCTGTCCTTGAAACAATTCAAACATTTAAATTTATTAGATTTGTGTGAAATTTGATCAAATCCAATTTGATATGATTACAAAAATTTTGAACTTGTGTCACAAAAGAGTGATTTCGAATTTTGTTGAAAATTATGTTGTAAAATGAAATAGGTCCTAAGGTCTACTAGAAATTTGTGTAAAATAAGATGACACATTTTACTGAAATCGTTTAACAATTCACAAATCTATATTTTAACTGATTTAAAAAAAATTTAGTATAATTTAATCGTCGTTTCGCGTTTTATTGAAAATTTAGCTTCTAGTAAATAAAACAAAAATAGATTCAAAATATGTTATATATGGGCTTTTGAATAAAATTAAATGTTTTATGTGATCAATATCTGCCATTGAATAACACTGAAGAATTCGAACTCATTTCATTTCACTTCATCGGACTTCATTTCTTACTTCGCCCATTTGGATTTACTGGATTTGTATGAAGTTATAAGCAGTAAAAGTTTACTAATTACTAGAAATTTTTAACCTATATAATATTTGACATGTTAACAAAAATTTTGGTGTAATTTAACCGTCATTTTGTATTTTATTGAAAATTTAGCATGGCTATAAAATAAAATACCTAGGTCCCTAATTCGGCTTCTGGGTTTTGGATAAAATACATGAACAAAATCTGCCCTTGTTTAACAATTCACAAGTTTTAATTCACTGAATTTGTGTGGAATTATAATCAATAAAATATTACAAAAATTTTAGTGTAATTTAATCGTGATTTCGAATTTTATTGAAAATCTACATAAAATAAAACAAGTGCAAAGTTTAGTTCATCTTCTCGGTTTTTTTATAAAATAAAACGAGACACGTGGTCAAAACATTTTTTTGTTTAATAATTTGCAAGTTTGGATTTAATGGATTTTCGTGAAATTTTTCAAAGAAATTTTCATCTTGTGTAATTTTATTGTCATTTGGGATTTTACAGAAAATCTAGTATGATTAAAATATAACAGGTGCATAGTCCAATAATGCTTCTCGGTTTTTAGATAAAATCAAATAACACACGTGGTCAAAACATGTTTTTGTTTAATAATTTGCATATCTGGATGTACTGGATTTTTTTGAAATTTTAGTCAATCAAGTTTGACTTAATTACAAAAATTTTCGACTTGTGTAATTTAATCGACATTTTGGGGTCTATAGAAAGTCTAATAATTTTAAAATATAACAGGTTCTAAATCTACTATGTGTTCTCGGTGTTTGGATAAAATCAGGTGACACACGTGGTCAAAATATGTTTTTGTTTAATAATTTGCATGTTTAGATTTGCGTGAAATTTGAACCAATAAAATTTCACAAAAATTCGTAACTTTACTTTAATCGTCATTTCGCATTTTATTGAAAATCTAATACTACATAAAACAAAAAGGTGCAAAGTTTAGTTAATCTGGGTTTTGGATAAAATAAAATAACACGAAATCTAACCTGTTTACTAATTTACAATTTTGGATTTACTAGATTTTTAAAATTTTAATCACTACAATTTTAACAGATTACAAAAATTTTAAACTTATTCATAAATTATTCATTTCGCATTTTGCTGGAAGTTTAAGAAGTGTTACCAAATTAAAAAAATTCACTTTCCATTCAATCTGTATGAAAGTTCAATAAATACATTTTTATATGATTAATTTACTTCATCGCCATTTCGAATTTTCCTGGAAATTTATACCAGTTAAATTTACAGTTCATACAGAATTTTGACGAAATATTTTGTATAATTTAACCGTAATTTTGAAATTGACTGGAATTCTGGTATCGGAAAAATAAATCAGATCAGCGGATCGTGATGCATAAAAATTAAGATGATGCTTCCGAAAAATTTGTCGCAGCAGAGGAAATTTCTCGTGAAAATATTTAATTAATTATAGCTAAATATGTATAATTAACTTATGTAATTTAAACAAATGAACTACAAGGATTAGCGTAATTTAACCATGATTTTGCATTTTTGAAAATCTCAATACAGAATAGTTTGTCATTCATTTATGAAGTTTTAGTTAACAAAATATTTTAAAATTTGTCTAATTTAATCATCATATCATAATTCGACATTTCAAATTTTCTTGGAAATTTGGACAAGTTCAATATAATTATATTTATAAATATATTGATAGAATT